GCACCCTATGGAGACACAAGTATTGGAGATGTCGACAGTGTGACCCAAGGAAATGGAGTGGATCTCCCCCAACGTCACACCAGCTAAGGGATAGATATGAGAGATTTCGCCCATGCTCCTTAAAAATTGGGTAATCCAGTGTCTTCCCGGACCAGCTTCCTCTTACAGTTAGCCTGCTTAGATAGCTTGACTTTGGCATGAGATTCTGGAAACTGAGTACCTCGTTCTCATCTGTTGCAGAGAGAAGTAGGCTGGTAAGGAACTGCAACTCTGAGAGGGAAGCAAAAAGCTCTGCACAAAGGTTAGAGCTTATGTTGTCAATTGATACACTTCTCAGTTGCAGCATCCTCACCAGCTTCCTTGCTATGTCCTTGTTAGCCTGCACAGTCTCGAGAGTTTGCAATTCTCCAAACTCTGTTAGACCTTTTGGGGGCTCTAATGCAATGAAGCTTCGAAAGTCTGATTGATTGCCATCGGGAGAACTGTCTGCCAAAATGTGCCGTAGCTTCCTGGCCTTTCTAATACCTTGTGGTAGCTTCTGTATTTTAGTTTGCCTGACGTCCAGCGTGTGAAGGTGTGAGAGCTTCTGAATAGATTCCGGGAGGGGTTTGACTTGGGTACACCGTAAGCTGATGTAGCGCAGATTGAACAAATTCCCGATAGATGCGGGCACTTCAGTGACATCAGAGTCTTGTAGCACAAGAACAGTAAGGAAGTTCGATCCAGAGAAAATTGCGGGTAGCAATTTGGTCAAGCATGAATTTGCTCCAAGTGCCACTAGACGTCGAAGACGTTGGAATTTGACTTGTGGTGTATTTGTGTCTTTCCACCCATGCAATGACAGGTGACGAACATCCTTATCAGTGTATGACAGTGTGCTGTAATTGATTTGCGGTTAAAGTATACTTTCCAACCCTCAACTAGCGCTGAAGTTCGATTTTCAACCTTCAACTATGAAACCGGTCAAGAAACACCCTCCAACTATCAAAATCGGACAAATTTGGTCCTCAGCTGGTTTCAAAAGCGGTTTTCTATTTTCGGGAGGCGCCGAAATTTTATATTATTTTTTTTGAGCATCTTAACGTCCTCAAATAAAAAAAACTCAAAACTACAAAGTTTATAGATCGTGTGATTGAGACTCAAATTTCAAAAAATAGAAAACCCTTCAATACGATGTCGGATGAAGATAATTTTTATATGTAAATTGTATACCTCAATGAGATCTACAATTTTATAGTTTTAATTTTTTCATTTAATGAGAGTAAGATGCTCAAAAAATTAATATAAAATTTCAGCACCATAATAATCGCCTACTAGCGCTTGCCGCATTAGAGCACTAATATATTATTTGTATGGAGTTAAATGAAAATATTTTTTATACCAAAGTTGTAGCTCTCAATGAGATCTACAACTTTGTAGTTTTGCGTTTTTTCATTTGAGGACGTTAAGATGCTCAAAAAAATAATATAAAAATTCGGCGCCTCCCGAAAATAGAAAACCGCTTTTGAAACCAGCCGAGGACCAAATTTGTCCGGTTTTGATAGTTGGAGGGTGTTTCTTGACCAGTTTCATAGTTGAAGGTTGAAAATCGAACTTCGGCGCGAGTTGAGGGTTGGAAAGTGTACTTTACGCTTGATTTGCAGAAGCAAACTTCTCCTCTTCGGCTACCAAAAGGATCATTTTACGCACGATGTCATGCATTTTGCAGGTACTCACCCTGCCAAGCATGTCATTCAAGATGATGTCATTGTCTACTACTTGCAGCATGTTCCGGCGGATCAGTTCCATAAAATATTTTTCAGCAATGGTTTCTGGCGTGGCACTGTTGGCTGCCAGCACAGAGCCTTCTGCAATCCACATCCGCACAAGGCTTTCCCGTGACATGTGGTAATCTTCAGGGATTATGCTGCAATACAGTAAGCAGTTCCTGAGATGTCCTGGCATGTCATGGTAGCTCAGGTTCAGGATTACTTGGACATGATCCGTATTCCACTTCAGCCCATCTTGAAGCCGCTCGACAAAGGATGCACCGATGATCGAGTGGGTGCTCTTCGTCCGATGCATCCTCCGTGACTTCGGCCCGCCGATTTACTAGGAAACGATCGGTGACCTCGCACCGCCAAAGCACACCGGCACATTGTATGACTACATCAACAACTTCATTGCATACATGCTACATGTCGGCATCACCAGCGAGCTTCATCAAGTCAACCGCTTCAGCACCGGCCTGCAAGATGCACTCTGGACGGCAGTTGCCCAACATCACCCCCGAGAGATGGAAACGGCCATCGCCCTGGCACGTGCAAGGGAGCATCTCGCGCCTACCACCATCGATGCCGCGCGAGCCATCCCCGACTTCAATAGAGACTTCGACCACACAGCAGAGCGGGACGTTGACGCCCCATCGGGCAAGATGGAGCGCGATTCAGCACCACCTCCTCCTGCAGCGGCTTCGACACCCCACAACACCCTGGCAAAGGCGCTCCTTCCACAGGTCGGCTACAACACCAGAGCGGCCACGCACCCCCACAGCACCCCTGACATCGCCATCCTCACACAGCTCCGTCTGGCCGCCATAGACAAGCGCGAACTCCAGATCATCTCCGCCACCATTGAAGTCAAGGCAGCGGCACCAGCATGGTTGCTCCAACACGGCATCATTCGCTACAATGACCGCTACTACATACTGGCGACTTCTCCATTGCTGCAGGAACTGCTGGAATCTCTGGGGACAACGTCTCCCCACCTCCTAGCGGTCAGCCTCCATACGGCAACATCTACACCGTCAACTCAAGCATTCCCCTCGAGCATCCTGCTAATAGAGGACTAGCCACAACACATACTATCGTCGGCAATGGTCGTCTTCTTTGATAGCAACGGCCAACAATTCCTCTCCATCGAGGACATCTACATCAGCAGGCAGCACGCTCACGGCCACCTACTCATCTCTCCGGCTGAATACAACATGGGCGACCTCCTCTTCGGCACCCTGCAATACTTTACCACAACACCACTGACCACGGTCATGACAGCACTGTGCAGGCGCATCACAGGGCAAGTCAATGCAGGGCAGGTATACATGTTTCCATGACCTCCAAGGGTCATGCATGTGCTACACTTCATCGCAATCCTCCCCGGCGCCACCCTCTCGGCGACACGCCGTGCCCATGGACCAATAATGGGCTCGGGAACCGACAACTACGTCTGCGGCTACTTTGGCTCCTGCCACAACTACTTCCAGTTCTCCGCCAATGACATCAACGCCGAGCAGATACATGACACTCTGGGACATCTCCTTATCCAGATCGAGGAGATAACTTGGGGCAGCAGGCTCCCAGCAGATGGCGTCAATAACTGGACAATGATTGAGCGCGAGGACGCGCTGATCGGAGAAGAGGGGAGTGATGTCATACGCCTAATCGACGGTCCAGGAGGGGGCATGGCCCACCGAGGCCAGCCACGTGATGGCCAGCCGCGCCACCCAGGAGGGGGCACGCATGCGCAGCAAGGGCGGGCTCCAGCCACGCCACCGACACCGTAACCGGAGGATCCCAAATAGAGGAAAGGAAATAAATATAATAATAGAGTCAGTTTAGATTAGATAGGATTTAGAGGAGTCCAAATCTATAAGGACCTTCCTTGTTAAATTACTTGAGATGCAAGTCTATTAGGTACTATAAATGTAGGGGCATTGTAATAATATGGAATCCAGAAAAGAATAGCCTCAGGCTTCCTCTATCTTCCTCCCTCTCCCTGCGCCTCCCTCCTCTCCCTGCCGCCCTCCTCTCCCTAGCTGACGCCCACAGCCCCCTCCCTAACCCTAGCCGCCACCCCCAGGTCACCCCTCCCTGCCAGGCTCTTACATGTCAGCTGTCTCCAATTGGCCTCCTCCCAGTTCTCTGAAGGAGCTACGCATTTTCTTAGGCTTGGCTAGCTATTATCAGCGCTTTGTCCGTCATTTCGGTGTTCTGGCCAGACCTCTGGTTTGGTAGTGCTCATTCGTCAATTGTTCCACATTAGGCAAACGGGTCCAGTTTCAGAGTGTGGACAAGTTTGTGGGCTTAGTGGACCTGATGATGGCTTATGTTCGCAATACCGATTCTCTTTACTATGCCATGCGGTTATGGATGAGTTTTTGAGGGAGACAGGAGGGGCAAGCCCCTATTGGAAATTAAATAATGTGGGAAGAGCCTTTTCTGCTTCGGTTTCCCACAAACGACTGGGAAGACTCAAGAGGTAGCGCCTTCGTGATGGAGATTCTCCAGCTGAGGGAATACTTCTTGCCGTAAGGAAGAACTGGGCTGGGGCAGTGCAGTGGATGCGGAGGAGTGAAGGAGATTCTCCAGCCGAGGGGAATACATCTTGCCGTAGGAAAGAACTGGGCTGGGGCAGTGGATGCGGAGGAGTGATCCTAGGAATTGATGTAGGTACTGTTTTTGGTTTCATGTTTTTCGTTGTTTGTTTTCTCTACATATACTCTACTCCTACGGAATGAAAATGCAGAGCACCCGCCATTGATTTCATAAAAAAAATTCTCAAGATGCACAGCCTCGGAGGATCCGTATGTGGTTCTAAAGTTCTTTAGATACGACATCAGGGCATAGAGGATCTCATCCCAATTCTTGAAGAGTCTCCAGATCGATGTGTGCGAATTCCACAAACGTGTCCATATTGCAGCGATTTCGTTGAGGCTGAAGAATGCCGTTGATGACAATTGAATAAGAGGATTAAGAGGGGATCTGTTTATTGCATGTTTGGCAATTTGAATAAAAGTTTACGTACGATCTGAAATCTCCATCAAATGCAGCTCAGCATATATAACATTTATTTGAAACATAAGGACTCGGTGGAACATTTCCAAACAAACGACAAACGTGGATATACAGCCGTGCATAAGTCTGATGCTTGCGTGCATGAACAGCCGGCGAATACGTACAACAAATCTGCTACAAAAGTAACCTAGATTAATATTAGTAACAACCATAGTGGCTGGTAGGCGTTCATCGTGGGGTCGCCGTGTCATTTCGCCTTGGCCGGGGACGATAGCGGTCAGGCGAGGTGATGCTCACTTCAAACTCGCCGCCGTTGTCGGCGGAGCGTCTCCTCATGCGGTCATCTAGGGTGAGCTCCATATCCTGGCACTGAAAGACGGGGCTGACACCATATTGGCTTGGCGGTGCATCGTACAGGGTTGCCATTATCACGAGCGGCGAACCAAGTGGCATGGCCACGACAGACCGTGCCAGCGGCAACCGGGCAATGGAGCCGGCGCCATCGGCGACGAGGGACACCCCGTCGACCTCCGAGTCGAAGAGCACGCTCCACGCTAGGTGTTCATGATGGAAGGCCTTGCTGCGCGTGGCGATGCGACCATAGACGACGGCGCCACGGCCTTCAGCAGTCGCTCCGGGGAGGCGAAGGTGGACTTCCAATTCGGCATCCACGGCGTCGCTCAGCACCGCGTAGGTCACCTCTACCTTGCGGCCGCTGCTGCTCGTTGTGATGGTCTCTCTAACTGGCCTGTCGTAAACCTTTTCTTCGTCGTAGCAATCCCAATTCAGCTCACCAACGTCTCCTGAGCCTTGGTCTTGTTGTGCCGCCATCACGGCGCCGCAGATGTCAACCTCAATGGTGAAGCTCCCGTACGCGGAGATCGCTCGGTATGGCCCAGTCAGCAGCAGCGGCGCGTAGCCCTGGTCGTCGTCACCCTGGATGCGTGTGCGTGTACGTCAAGCCGCCAAGGCAACAATAATTAAGCAAATACTGTAACGCGTCTCAGCTAAAGAATTAATGATATGAACATCAGCTGTAGAAAAATTAACGACGTGACGTACCGAGCGCGAAGAGGAGCCGTGGATAGGAGGAGCACCGCCATTGTTCTCGTTCTCGTAGATGACCTGGCCGCGCATGCCGTCGAAGACGGCAATGGTGCCGACGAAATGGAAGCCGGCGCGCACGGCGAACACCTCCACCAATGGTCGGCCACAGGCCACGTAATCGTCAGCAGGCGATACCGGTGGTGTCTCCTGCTGATGGGAATGCTGGGATTCCCCGCTGCCCTTGTCAGACGGCGGCGGCGGCGGCGGCTGCTGCTCCTGCGGCTGGTCCTGGTCATGCTGCTGCTCGGTTCTCCTCCTTTTATTAGGAGGAGACTGCTGCTGCCCGGATCCGCTGCCATCTTCACCTGCAGCGGGCCGCTGCTTCTCCGACGGATGGCCACGGTCACCTGCCGCGCGGCGCTGTTGCTCCGATAGCCTGGCGTCGTCGTCACCTGCCGCGGGCCGCTGGCGCCGCTGATCCCCCCGCCATCGAGGCGGATCACGGTGGATGGGCGTGTTAAGCAGCAGCTCAACTATGTCAAGTGCCTTACATGGGCCTCCGACCCCGATATCCTCCAGACACTTGGGGAATTGGAAGGTGTTCCCGTCCCTTTTCCACCGCAGCAGCGCCTCTGACATGTCGCCCCAACCCCAAATGTAGTCTACGTGCTTGCTCTTGATGAAGCAGCTGAACCTGTCATGCCAGCCCGCCGTCTCCAGGAGCGGGCGCATCCTTGTGGCCTCGCAGACAATCACCATGAGGCCTGCCAGTGCACGTCTGGTGTTGTCGCCAACTATGCGGCCTTGACCTTGATAGTAGCCTGACAGCTGCCTCACGGCGAAGAGCGCGAACGCTCGGCCAAGCTCCATATTCTTAAGGTTCCGCGCCCCTCCATGTAGTAGGCTCCCGTAGTTGACATCGCATTCCAAGAACCTGGACCCTCGGAGCATAGGCCTGCTTCTCTTGCTACGGTCAATCGTCCCCGAGAAACCAAACTCGAACAATTCTCCTCTCTGATTCATGAAGCCAATCAGGTACACGTTGTCATCCCGGACGGCGAGTGTTGTCTCTGCGCCGTCTTTCAGTACAAGCTTGATGTATATCCACCTCTTCGGTTCTCTGGGAAGCTTCTGTTTGGGAAGCACATGATGGATCCTACCGTTACGATAGTCGCAGACAAACTGCCTTGGGTTGTCGTCGTGCGCGGTGAGGATGTCACGAAGTGCGAGGATAAAATCATTATAGTTCCCCGTGTCGACGTTGTGGGTGATCCTTACAATATTAGCCATCGTGCAATTGATTATAAGTTGCTAATTAATTAGCTAGCTAGCGAGGCCAAAATGTCTGCCTGTTCAAATTGAAGGGCTGTGATTAGTAGTGCTTGGGCTCGTTTCAATGAAGTACATGTGTTTCAAGTATAATAATAAACACTGTGATAACTAACTTCTTCCCTCTAGTCTGATGTTTTGACAATTGTATAGTAATAGGTTTTTCTAAAATGTAACTTTGACCACTATTTTTAAATATAATATTTATAAAAATCACAATATATACTTCTGTGGAAGTATCTTTTTTTCTCACGACGAATCTATGATTTTCACTTTTTTGAAACTAAATATATTTTCAAAGTGAGTATTTGTCCAAAAATGAATGAAATACTAGTTACACTACCGAAGACTGTGTAGTTACCGAGTGCCCCGACAATTACCGAGTGTCAAAAGTCAGGGTACTCGGAAAACAGTACTTATCGAGTGCCAACACTCGGAAAACATAAACACCCGGTAGTCGACCGCTTTACCGAGTCAGCACACTCGGTAACTTCAGACACTCGTTAAAACTACAAGTTTACTGAAGGGGTGCACTCGGTAAAAACAACCACTCGGTATTGAGGTGCCATGTCACCTAGGATAGCAACCGTGCGCTAAACGGCGTCACGGCATGACATGTTTACCGAGTGTTATGAGCATACACTCGGCAAAAATCACGGTAACAACAGCTCCGCCCATCAAGCGCTCATAGCAAATAAAAAAGACCGAAAATGTTTACCGAGTGTCACACTCGGTAGAAGTATTTGCACTCGGTAATAATAAAGTTTTACCGAGTGTAAGTGCACAACACTCGGTAAACACTATCTTTTACCGAGTGTATTGGCGCAACACTCGGTAAAATTCAACCAAATTTCTTGTTTTTTCCTCTATTCTTTTTCCTCTATCCACATATGATATTTAGTACTCCATTCCAAAATATGGTGTTTATTTCGATTTATTTACTATATTTCACAAAATTTTCATTCTTTGTGAAAATTAGGTACATATCGTGTAAATTTAATTGTAATAATTAAAATCGAACTCGATAAATCACGAGATTGGAAGAATTAACATTGAAGCATACATCTATGTTATAGAAAAATTTTCATAACGTTTCGGAAGTATTTTTACATTCGTCGCTGCCGAACCGGTACATCTCCCAAAGAGACGCTAAACATTCACAATGACGAGTAGGATTTCTATTAAGAGTGAAATTCAACATTATGATTTGAACTTGGAATTTTGTAGATAGTAAATAGATGACATGAAATAGTTCATGTGAAAGTTTGGTGAATTTTAGGATTAAATTGGCATTTTTTCTTTTTTGTTTTGCATGAAATAATGGATACTTTTACCGAGTGTGACCTCAAACACTCGGTAAAGGTTAGCCACGGTCCACCAGTCTGCCATAGTGGGCTGCCATGCTTCTGTTTACCGAGTGCCATAGATCTAGGCACTCGGTAAACATGTACCAGGCCCACATGTCAGTGGGCTGCGGTGCTTCTGTTTACCGAGTGCCGTAGAACTGGGCACTCGGTAAACATGTACCAGGTCCACATGTCATTGGGCTGCGGGGCTTCTGTTTACCGAGTCCCGTAGATCTGGGCACTCGGTAAACATGTACCAGGCTCACATGTCATTGGGCTGCGGTGCTTGAGTTTACCGAGTGCCGTACATCTAGGCACTCGGTAAACAGAAGCATTCAATACTTAGCCGTTTCTCCCTCAAATCGTGCAGACACACACACACACCGCACACGCCCACGCATCCCCGCCGCACCGCCGCCGTCCCCCGCGCCGGCGCCTCCCCACCGTCCCCCGCACCGCCGCCATCCCCCGCGCCGGCGCCTCCCCGCCGTCCCCCGCACTTGCGCCCGCGCCTCCCCGCGCCCGCGCGCTCCACGCCGTCGCCGGCGCCTCCCCGCCGTCGCCAGCGCCTCCCCACCGCCGCGGCCGCCTCCTCCCCTCCACGCCGTCGCCAGCGCCTCCCCACTGTCGCCGGCGCCTCCCCACCGCCGTGGCCGCCTCCTCCCCTCCACCACCGCCGCCACGGTACTCTCTCCGTCTCTCGCTGACTTGCTCGTGGCTCGCGCACCTTGGAGCGGCGCAGGGAATAGCGGACGGAAGCGGCGGCGGGGCCTCGACGGCCGGCGGCGCAGCGGCACGGCGAAGGCAGCCTCCCCTGGTGCTCGGTCCTCCTCTTGCTCGCCCTCTCGGCCCTGCGCGCCCAGGCCTAACGGGGCAGCGCCGCCACGGCGGCGACCACTCGACGGCCACCCGCCGGCGCCCGGCGGTCCGGACTCCAGACATCCCATCGGCCCCCTATGGCCCTCCCACTCCCAGTCCCAGCTCGAGCTCCGGTTGAAGCAAGGTGAGCACAGTCTTGACAGTCAGATCCATTCTTTAGAGTAAGAATTGAAGATTTCTCATGTGTGTAGAGATGAAAGGTTTGAAGAACCTATGTGAGCTTTCAGTTATGCTTGTTGACACAAAAAAACATGAACAATTATCATGTTGTTTACAAGCTTCTTAAGTTGGTGCTAATTCTTCCACTAGCCACTGCTAGTGTTGGAGAGTTTGGAAATTTTAGCAAGCACAATTTCTTTATGTTATATGTTATACTTATGTTTTAATTTTACAATATCACATCTAAGTCAAGATAAGAAAATAAAGTAGTCTCTCATACTGAAATTTCTAACAAAACAATGGCCATATATATTGTTGTTTTCCTTGATTCAAACTTTATGCCTTTTTGCTTTAATTAAAAAGAGTTTTATTTTGGTAGTGAGCTTGTTGAAATTATTGGTAAATGATGAATGTGAGAACAACGTATAGTTAGGATTGCAGTATTTTAGTCATCCTCATGTTGCTGCATATGTATATGTGTTGTGATAATAATTTTCATAAGCATACATGTTTATATATTGGTTGCCTTTCTGTCCAAAATATATGGAAATTATCCAATCTTTTGTTAATTTTTTCCACATGATCCAGTCCAAGTTTCTCATGCTATCAACAAGTATGTACCTATCTCATCAACATGTATTCCACTTGCTAAATATATCACTCTTGTTGTCCAAAATCTTTGAACAATTTATTCATTAGTAACTAGGGCTTGTCATCGGTGATTTGTTTGTGGTAGTGTCATGCCATGTGACCTATAGTGCTGCGACAGAACCTAGCGCCCCTTTGTGTGCTAGCCACATGGTTGTGCTGCTAGGCGCGCGCTGGTGCTCGGGTATATGGTTGAGACACGCTACAAAACCTGCTGATGCTCTACCTCAATCTTCGATAAATCTTGCTAGTGATGTTTGTGGCTACAAAAAAATTGGTTCCATGTATTCCTCCATCTACAAGTGACATAGCGGCCTTTCAACCTTAGGTAAAATCTCATCATCCAATCTAGCAAACATCTTCTATGTGAATCGACCAAGAACATGAATGTCTCTTTATCATCTCATATGTTTTTTCTCTAGCACTACTACTCTATTGCTCTAAACTGCAATATCGTCTATATGTTAGGATGGATGACCGTTAGTGGATGTACACGGGCTATCAGAAGAGGGGTCAATACACAAATGAATGGATTGAGAAGGCCAATGATTTCATGACGAAGGCATTTGCAAACGGATGGCGACATGCCTGGTGTCCCTGTAGGAAGTGTAAGAACAAGGCAATGAAAACATATGAGGAGATGACTAAAGATCTTGTCAACAATGGATTTGTAGAGAACTATACCCGGTGGACCATGCATGGTGAATGCCATCGTGCGAGAGAAGAGGTCGTGAGACAACAGATCGAGGAGTTTGATTCTGAAGCCGGGGTGGCAGAAATGTTAAATGACCATGACATGGCTTTCGATGAAGGAAGTGCAGAGCAGGAGCCAGAGCAAACTGCAAAGGCATTTTACGCCATGTTGGATGCGGCACAACAACCCCTTCACGGGCGCACCAATGTTTCTAAACTGGATGCCATTGCACGTCTAATGGCTGTGAAGTCCCAGTTTAGCTGGAGTAGAGAATCCTTCGATCAACTGTTGACAGTAGTTGGCACCCTACTTCCGGATGATCACGTTCTGCCAAAGAACACGTATGAGTCAAATAAAATCCTTCGTGCACTCAAGATGTCGTATGAGCAGATACATGCTTGTCCGAACGGATGCATCTTATTCAGGGGAGAACATGCTGACGATAAGTACTATCCGAAGTGTAAGGCATCTAGGTACATTGAGTTAGAAACTGGTGATGGTCGGAAGACGCAAACAAAAGTCGGCGCAAAGATCCTGAGGTACCTTCCTTTCATACTGAGGATCCAACGACTTTTCATGAGTGAGGAATCCGCAAAACAGATGACGTGGCACAAAACTGGACGCCGATACACTGACAAGATGATACATCCGTCCGATGGTGAATCATGGAAAAGCTTCGATCAGAAGCATACCGACAAAGCTGACGAGGCTCGTAATGTACGCATTGCACTGGCAACTGATGGGTTCAATCCTTATGGAATGGGTTCTTCACCATACACATGTTGGCCCGTATTCGTCATCCCTCTCAACTTCCCACCTGGCGTCGCCTTTCAACGGCAAAATATTTTCTTGTCACTTATAATTCCAGGACACCCGGGGGCTAATATGAGTGTGTACATGGAGCCTTTGATAGACGATTTGGTCCGTGCATGGGACAAAGGGGTAGTGACATACGACCAATTCACAAAGACAAACTTCAGAATGCATATTTGGTACCATTATTCCATGCATGACTTCCTGGCTTATGGGTTATTTTGTGGCTGGTGTGTTCACACGAAGATGCCATGCCCGATATGCAAGTCAGCTGTGGAGTTCTTTCGGTTGGAGAAGGGGGGGCAAGTTTTCTTCGTTTGACAAACATCGACAATTCCTCCCTCTTGACCACCCATTCAGGAGAGACAAGAAGAACTTTTGAAAAGGTGTCACAGTGGAAGACTCTGCACCGGAAATGATGA